AAGTAAACTATTTAAAATTTTACTTTATTCTGATATACCTATGATTACCGTAAGTACTATGATTATTCTATGTGCTGTATAAAAAATTGTGTATTTTTATGCAAATTTTTATAAAAAAATATAAATGATTCTAGCTAGATGGGAAATTTTGTGCAACCGCTGCGCGCTCTTGATATAATAATTAAGTGATAAAATAAAATGTAAATTTAAATAAACGATTATTAACATCATTACATAGAAACTAATGAATAAAATAATTAAATCAAATATACGAACGACAGTATTCTTCAATATGTGCTCTTTTCATTAACAATTCACAAACACTTCATTGGTAACAGATATATACGAAGTAATACAAGCATGGCGTAATTACTGTGAACATTTATATTCGAGTGATAGCACAGATGAAATAAACATCGATGACAATGATAATGAAAAAAAAATCAGATGCTATAAAGAGAATTGCACAACAGAAATCTTCTGGAGTCGATGTAATTCCATCCGAAGTGTTGGAAAAATATGAGAAACACTGGTTTACAACTCGTACACTACTTATGTCCACTCATATGGATGGACAACCCTTAAATGACCTACTGACTGGGCAATCTCCGTAATTGTTTCTTTGCACAAAACACCAGAGAATGCACACAGAGAATGAACACAAATTATAGATTAATCTCGTCGATAGCTCCTAAACACTTGTAAAGGGAAGGGAAATGCGAGAGTACATTTTGAATCTACAACTTATGGAAAAACCAAGATAATGTTCCCATGCGTCTCTGTTTTTTAAATTACGAGAAACTCTTCGATAACGTTTGTAACAATTGTATTTAGTATGATCAATTTTTTAATATGAATATTCCGATTCACTTCGTTAAACTACTAAAACGTTGTATGAAAACAATGAAGCAGTCGTGAGATTGGAAAAGATATATTCTTCACGATGCAAAAATAGAAAAGGCACCTAGAGAAGGCTGCGTATTATCGCCAGGGTTTTTTAACCTATATGGTTACCTATACGTAAACACATAACCAGACTTATTTTAGATGAATGGGAAGGAGGCATTTCAGTAGATGAAGTCAAGGTGTCCAACTTCGCTTTGCCTATGACGCATTGGTTATAGCTCAAAGTGAGGAAGAGCTTATTGGTTTTCGACAAACTAAAAAGAGTTAGCGGGAGCATGTACTACAAATTAATTAATAATTAAATTAATTAAAACAAGGCAAAAGTATGACATACGCGGAAGAAACACGATCCGGCATAGAATGAACAAACAGAATGCAAAACCCTCAGAAAAATTGATGGCAAGATACTCTTCTTCAATGTTCATTTGTAGGAAAGGGTTAGGTAGTGCTTTATTACGAAAAGGAATGAACTTAAAGTACCCGTTTAGGATCATTTGATCCTCTTCATGATAGAGTTGAATGTGTTATGGTTGTACGAAAAGCAAAACAGTCCGAAAAACCAGCTGGGGTAATGGTATTCTTCTGGTGGAGCATCTTGGAGGCTGTCAAGATGGAGTCACTATTCGAATCAGAGGCGAGAGGCTTGTCTATATGAGGTGTTTTCCAGAAAGAATGTGTGTGTTTATTAAGCTAGATACGTCAGAGTCGAGTCTCTAGTTGCTATTGTTCCTGAGTCTACACCCGACTTTGGAAGGTCGGGAAGCTGATTATTTGGTTTCGATCAACAGATGTGATGGTTGAGAAGATTTTTGTTTTGTTAGGACTTCGAGTTTGTTCCAGAACTTAGCTCCATGTCTGTAATCTAGCTAGTAGCTTCCCACTGGCGAGCCTGTAGGGCAGATATTTCCCTCTTGATTCTAGCAGAGATGTGGTTAAATGCTGTTTCGATTAGGGGTTCTCTGTTGATCTTGTAAAGGCGTAAAAGCCGTCTTTTTTGTTGAATTTTGGAAATGATGTATTGTGGAAATGCCGGAGAGAATGGTTATATAGTTTTCATTGGAATAGAGTGATTGATTTATAAAAAACTTTTTTGAACAAATTTTCTTTTGGGCCTTATAACTATTTTTTCTGGTTATTTTAACCAGGATTTTTTCTGGTTATTTTAACCAGGTAATAATATCAGATTGAATTATATTAGATAATAATATTAGATTAATATTATAGAGGGTTTTTCAACGACTAATTTACACTACAAATGTGTTTAATTTCTCTGGGTTTTACAGCACTCCAAAGTTGACCGGGTTCTTGAATATTCATAAGAATACGATAAAAATTAACCATTAGGCTTAGTTTTTTATTAGATACAAGATATTATATATTTTTATTCATATAATTTATTATTTTGTTAACATTCCTATAGTATTCGTTTATGATCGACCCTTTTTCCGACCACCTATGTAAGTAAAGTCTAGAGGCACGTTTTTTAAGCGCTAGTGCCATTAGCCCTATTTCCTGACAATTTCCAGGTGAGGTAATATTAACCATAATTATAAAAAGTTGTTTTCTAGCTATTGTTTTTCATTTTATTTGATGATCCATTTTTCGATTAATTTTATTATTATATTTCCATGATGTCACTGCAGGTTTCACCAGAACAATTGAGGCACACTGCATGACATTTGAGGCATACTTGTCGGCAACCACACCTACTTTTACAGTTTCCCTTGAATCCGCAGAAAATTAATTTCAGAAGTTCGGGGGTGCTAGAATTTTGATTGGTATCCAAACTTTTTTCCAGCCCCAAGCTTCAGGATCGCAGAGTTTCCTGGTGATAAACTCTAACAATATTGAAACGTGCTGAATCTTGTGTTGGCGAAAGCGATGATAAGTTAAATGTAATTTTGGTCACTGTCTTGGGAAATCATTTGTATCTCATGCTGTTAGGGAATCACCTTTATTTCCACCACATAGGTGGACGAAAAGAGATGAAAAAACCATTGCCAACGACAGTGGGAAAAGAAGGCTGGGCTTAAATTTAAATTAGGGAAGGATTAAATCTAAAGAAAAAACACCAAAACAGAAAAAGTAACTAGGCGCGTATTAGATAGTGATTATGAATGATGCTCAAGTTGAAAATGAGATGGAATTACAAGATTCCAGCGGAGGAAAGGATTTTATTGGTGAAGATCCCGAACCAATTAGTTTCGAAGATCTTGATCGCTGTCCCAATAATGGGAATTATGTGCTTGTTGAATTTAACTTTAAGCAAAAGACGTACTATGTAGGCAAAGTCTTGTCTCAAATAAAATAAAATGATTTTGAAATATCGTTTTTAAGAAAAAGCGCTATATGTGAACACAGGTTCTTTTTCCAGTTGTCCCAGATGTCTTACATGTACCAAAAAGAAACATTAAAATGATTCTGCCACCCCCTGTAATGCAAGGGTTAACTAAGCGCTAAGGTTCGCTTTTAAAATTTGAATTAAACTTTGACAGTCTTAATGTAAAATAATGTTAATTGTTGCGTCTCAGTGGTCCCATATTGAAAGGAACAGTCAGACATTTAGTAATTTTTAGTTTTAATATTTTTGAGGTTTTAACTGTAGTTTTTATCAAAAAACGACATGATTTTTCCGTTCTTGTTTATATATCAAATATAGAGGTATAATACAATATAAGTTTAAAGTAGCATTTAATAAGAATGTTGTCATTGAAAGTTTTGTGTCTCAGTGTTCCTACCACCTCTCTATAATGTTGTGTTGCATCCTGAAAAAGCATTAAGAAGCAACAAATTCTCTACAATGACGTCGCCATATATAAAACTTAAAGAACAATAACATTGATACGACTTACACCCTTTTGAAGGTTTAAAAAAATTGGACACTTTGGACTACTCCCTTTCTAATTCCATGAGCAAGACAATAATGTTAATGTCTTTTGATACGACAGTCACCGAATCATAGGCTTGGAATACAGCAAGCGCAGAACGGATGACGACTGTATCTGCATCAGATTCAGCCTGGTCGACACTAAAACCCACTTCTGATAGAGCAGTTTTGAGAAGATCTATTAAGTTTGTAGTGTTCTTTTCATTACCTAGAAATTTATCTTAGAATAATATTGGTACGATGCTCTTATTAAACTTTATTTCTGTCCATTGGTGCTTTTCATGTGACAAAATTATTCAATTTTGGTATTTGTGCGAACAAATCTTTGGCAGCTTTCTAGGCTTTACTGTTTAAAGCTGGCTTTCTCTTTACGGTGGGTAATTTAATTTCCAGTGTAATCAGCAATCCTGTACCTTTATAAGAACTGTTTAAAGCTTTTGGAGTCAGAAGTTCTTACTTGATTAGACGCTAGATTACAGTATGTTGTTTCTTTTGTAACCGTGTTGCCTTTCTACTTTGTAATCTTCAGAGCTGCTACTTTTCTTAGATCTTGTCATAGGAAATAGTTTCACACTATTATAGAATGGGAGTGTGAAATCAAGTTCTATTTGAAATATGTAAGAATCGTAGAATTTTGTGTTGGAAAACAAGTTTGCTCATCTAGAAATATGATCTGATTACCTGTAAATTGTATAATAAATTGTAAAGCAACTTGTGTATCAACAATATTTTTAAACATAGGTACTACAATAAACTATAGTTAACTGATGTAAGAAACTAAATAGTATTAATTTTTTATTACATGTTTCTACTTCCTTGGACATTTACTTAAGTGATCTTTTTTGGCCAAGTTATTTAATCTCGATGTTCAATCTTTGGTCGTTATGTCTTTAGTTTGTCTAGTCTAGTTGTCTGTACCTGCTATGTTTAAGAACTGCATCTTTTAGTTGTTTTTTGTATTTTAGTCATGTTTCTATCGGTTATTCATTATTCCCCTTTTCTATATTACTATAGATATTTATGTTTTTAGTAGTACAATTCGATATACTTATATTTTATCTAAAACATCCTGTTGAGTTATCGAACTAAAATTATACAATATATTATGGTAAAATATAAGATAATTCTTATCTGTTGAATAATTTTTTATGTTTTATTTAACATTTAGTTACAGAAGCAGAAGAAAAGAAACATATTTAAAGGTTATGTTTTGTTCCTGACCTGACATTCTATGACATTTTCAGTATTACAAAAGTGATGTTTATGTAGGATAAATATTAAATAGTCCGAATTTTCTTACAGTTTAACTTAGTTATGAAATAATTAACCCCAAAGAAACACAAAAAATGAAAATGTCGACGACTTGGAATAGTGAATATTACATAGCACTAGAATGTAAAGATTTACAAGCCAATGCAATGGCAATTGATTCTACTGGGAATTTTGTGTTATTAGCCGGGTAAGTAATTAAATTGAATTAATTAATTATTCTAATTGTTTATAGTAACAAGAGTACCTGAATTTTGAAAATTTAAAAATATGGAATAAGAAAATTTAAAAATAAGCCTAGTTTGATAATTTGATTAATTTATATGTTTATATAAATAATAGAAGTACAGCTTCAGAAGTATATACTGTATGTTTCTTTTGTAACATTAAGTTTGTGATTTACTGACTCATCTAAGAGATTTTCAATAACTATGCAACTACATTTCATGAGATTTTAAGATAATACCATTGATGAAAATCTGTTCTGCTTTATAAAGATGAATCAAAATGTAATATTTACATAGTTTGACTACTTTGTCTGGAAAGTGTACCAACAACTTTCTTATTTTATTTATTTAGGATATCATTTTTTATCCTGAACACAAATTTCAAGTAAATAGTAAGATTTTTCAATTGTTGGTAATTACTTACATTAGTAAGGATAGTCGGATTAGTCTGAAATTTGGACAGTGGATTATGTTTTATTTTTTATTCACTTTTCAATCTACACATTTTTTTACGCTGAGCTATAGTTTTTCTGTAATTCGCATTTAAAAAACTGATATTTTGACATAAATTTCAAGATGCCGCCGCCATTACAGCTGCTGTCAATGATGTGCGTATGCGTAGTGCATACTTCTTGATCCAATGTTGCCACACTTTTCAAATATATTGTTTATTGTGAAAATATTAATTCTCAAATACAATCATAAAGGAATAAAGATATTGAGTATTATTTCCATTTTCTGTTTCTAAGGGATACATATAACTGTATTTCATTTGTTATTAACTTATGTTATTACGTATAGATTATAGCTTATTTCGTTTTATGTTGTATTTAGTTGGATGCATTAGTTATCAACTTCTTTATTAGTTTAAATTGTTAGATGATATGAGTAGATTAGGTTTTAATTTGTTTACTAAAAGTACGAATAAAATAGTGCATATTATATTATGTCTATACAGCACTGGTTCCGTTTAAAACATGGCTGATTACGTCTGCGCAAACGAGATTCGCGTACTTATTTTTTCAAACAGATTGGCATTCTGATTGTTTATTATTCTGTGAAGTTTTAGATGTGATTGGAGTAGTTTATATTAGGTTTTATTTTGTTATTTAATACTCAATATCGAGTTTTACAAAAACACTAATTCTGAAATACGCAAAAAACAATATTAAATCATATGTGGTACACTTTTAAAAACAATATTAACTCATATATAGTATACTGTTATAAAAACTTAAATTCAATATATTTACTCTGCAAAAAAAACAATATTAAGTCATATATGGAGTAAACTTTTATTAAAATTTAAATTCAATATATTTACTCCGAAAAAAACAAATGTGCATGTGGCAACATTGAACCTGAGTGGAATATTTTATATTGTGCGCAAACGCGCTTGACTTGTTTTTCCAAATAAATGAATTTTTGCCATTTTATAATATTTTATATTTTTGGATAAATTAACAGAGGAAATGATTGGTATTCACAATTGATTTATAAATTTTATATAACTATTACGGCTGTTTCATATTTCGATAACATTTTTCTCTTTCTAATTTTTGATTTTGTATACTTTTTATGAACTTTTTTCAATTTTTTTTACATTTATTCACTTTTTGTATGTTTCCGTAGACGTAAACATGAAAATTTTGCCTTTTTTCTATTTTTCAGGCTAAGTCCCCGAAAAATTCGCATTTTTAGGGACCCTTACTAATGTAAACAATTACCCAATTCTTTTTTCTGTTTACTACCCGAAATCATAAATAACAATTTTTGTTTGAATCGTAGGTGCCACTTTTACAGTTTTCTGTCATTCAAAAACTTCAATTTATTCATAACTGTAACATACTTTTTTTTCTCAACATATCATCCAACTTGTTAAATTCAAATTTATATAAAATTTATGCTTATTCTTGTGCTTTTGTTTCTTGTCGTCTTAAGTAATATGTTTTTATATTATTATTATTAACTTCCACCAACCAGCCTTACTTGTTTTATCCTGACATAATTGTTCAATGTTATTTTTGTCTACTTTTGTTATTTATACCCATCTAACATTAACTGATGACTCATAAATCTTACATAATCTTTAAATATTGCTGAAAAACATCTGATTAGCCAATGTAAAACACAACCTGAGGGTGATTTTTACAACACTAAAGCAACAATTCAAAGCATGTGCGAGGGTCTGAAACAAGAGGATATCAAAAATAAAATATATACAACAATTTAAAAGGTAATGTAATGAAAAATTGGAAAATATTTTACCAACCATCAATTAGAACAATGTTTAAATTTTATGCATAAGAAAAATAATATGAATCTATTTAACAAGTTTTAAGATTCTATGCCTTTTCCTTCAAGAAAAAGAAAAAGCATCAGAATTTGAGAGGAACAAGAGGAAATCCCAATCCTAAATTCAATAGAGTTTCTCTTTACAAGAGAAAACCATTATCAAGTTGTACAACTCAAGTATCTTTTGTCTAGAACTATTTTTTAACATATCTTAAATTGGTTAGGTTTATATAATTTTTCGTATATTCAAGGGGAAAAAACTATGCAATTCATCATACTTACCTTTTATAGATATGTTAACCAATGCAGTTTGTTACCAGCATACATACTTAAAAGTACAATGTCTTTGTAGTCGAGGTCATATATGTTTCTACAAGATTTTTTGTGGTTCACTGTCAAATGTCTTTTCATAATTGATAAAACACTGATTATCTCATTTTTTTTTTCAAATTCTCTATAAGATTTTAATTACTTATTAAACTAATTAGTCTAAATTGTCAGCATTTGTTGGGTTTACTTTTTCTAGAACCAATCATCAGGTAAACACCAATATTTTGAATACTAGTAATGGTTTAAGATTATTGTCGTTAATTAGTTTGAGCATTTCTCCATATTCTTTGCCTGGTCTCCACTGTTTCCATTCTTTGTGTTGCCACTGTTGTCTTTTTACTGTGCTGGTATTATATCTAATGTTAATTTTTTTAGTTTGGTTTGTTTGTAATTCATACTTATTAACCTATTTGTGAAATTTATAACACTAGCATTAACTCTACAACACTTATATGTATACTTCCCCATTATGTTTCTCCTTGTGAACCATAAGATGTGTTCAACCTTCTTCAACTAATTATATGTAAAATGTGAATATGTTTCTCTGTGTATTGTAAATAATGTTTGTTTTTAGTCGAAGATATTTAGCGATAAGAAATTTAGAAGATATTGTAAATGTTGGTTTCCAAAAATTTCCACGTCAGAGTAAATATGATGTAGGAGCAGCAGAATGGAATCCTACTAATTATCACAAGGAATTATGCGTAATCTCGGTAAAATTATTTTAAATTTTATATTTACTTATACTTTAAAATTCAAAATCTTGATATTTGAGATATTTTTTTTATGTGGACTCAGAGACTTAATTTTTTTTAATGAATAGACACAAACATTATTTAATTCCATATATAAGAAAAGGATTAGAAAAAAAATGAGAGAATTATTGATGAACTAGTGTCTTATTTGCAAACTATATGGAAAAGTTGGAATCAAGGAAAAAAATTGGAGAAATACAAGTTGTGTTTACAGCAGTACTTTTATACATTAGAAGAACTCAAAATAATGAATGCACTAAATAATGTTAAAATTTCCATCAAAATCAAGAACAAAGTATACAACTCGCTTAGTTAAAATACTTATAGAGAAAACTCTTGAAACCATAGAAAAGAAAGTATGAAAGAATAGACATACCAGTATGATCATACCTACCTATATACATTAAGTTTATTGATGAAGTAGTTATTGTACAAGATAAGATGCAAGAGTTCTACATAAGAAATGGAATTGATTTAAACATAAACAAAATTGAATACTCAATATAATAGAAGAATATGAGAACTAAAAGTAGACAGTAGACTTCCTTTGTTTGAATTCAAGAAAAATTTATAAAAAAGAAGAATAGACAAATTAAGGTATTTAGGATTTAAAATATCTGAGAAATAGCTAGGTAAGATATAAATAATCACTGTGTCTGGGTACACGCTAACTTGTAAGCACATTGAAAAGTTAGATACATGCGAATGAAACATTATCAAATCAGTGATGTCATTATTTAGTGTGAGATGTGACTGTACTTTTGATAAACACTCATTTTCCGATTTTCTGATGTGTTTAGTGTTCATTTGATAGACAAATATTTGTGACTAAGGGAAGGGAAGTAGAACTATTGAGATGTCTCAAACTTAATTGTAATAAATCAATGTGTATATAAAAATATATATTCAGGTTAGCAAAATATACATTTAGTTGACATGACGTGTACAAAATACTGTTAAAATAATTTTTAAATGTAAGATAATTCTTATTGTCAAAGCTGAGAATGTTATTTTTTAATTTGTATTCGCTTTAATCCAATAACAGTTTGATCAGCATCTTTAGAGGTCTTCCTTTTATTTTTATTCAAGGCGGTAATACTATTTTACTTATAACTAAAAAAATATTCATTTGTAGCGATTACAAATTAAATGTATCTATGAAAATCTTACTTTTGATTTTTTTGTTGCTTTACATAGTTAAAACTGATTCTCCATGTTCACTTTCGATTTTTTTGCGAATGTTACTACTTTTTGTAACTAAAACGAATTCCCCTTCGTTAGATACTAAAATTTCATTAACATCTAGAAAAGAAGAAATATTGTTGATTATATAAGTTTATTTTAAAAATAATTCCAAATAAGCAACAAACCAGTTACATTTGAGTCCAAGATGTCTTTTGGTATAGTTAGTTCACTACGTCCATTTTTAGATAAAATATCCTTGTTATTTTGTTCTTCATTTGGATCTATGAATTCAACCTGTACATTATGCATCTCGTCAGTTACTAAAATCTCATTAACATAAGTTAGAAAAGAAATAAATTGTTACTTGTGTAAGTTTATGTAATTTTAAAGCTAGCTTTAAAATTACATATCTGGCTTAGCTTAGCCAGTTATATTTGAGTCTAAGATGTCTTTCAGCATAATTAGTTGACCATGTCCATTCACAGATAAAATGTAGCAAAAATCATTTGGATCTTCATTATTTGTTATGTTCTGATCTGTATTTTCGTCAGTGCTACTAGGAATTACATCTATGACTATAGAGCTGTTTGCAGTCTTCTGTAATTAGTTAATTTTATAAGTTATTTGATTTGGTTTCTTGCTTTTTTAATATTATTTGAACAACCGGCAACGCCGCATTAAATTTGCATTAAGACTCCGTTCCTTATTTGTTTTCAAAGAACCGAAATGTTTGATAATCGTGTGTTTTTAATAGAACAAAATGTTTCTAAAACCTACTTATAGGACACTTTTTGCCACTTTTTTTGCACTGCAGAGAGTTTATCTTCTTATATTATTTTCCACGTGAATTTTAAAATTTATTTCTCACATTTTGTTTGGAAATCTCTGTGTTTATTAAACAAATGGATTACTTCGCATACTACGCTATTATACATATAACAGTGCAACAGTGTAACAAATTTGGACATATAATTCAGAACAGAAATTTTTGTGTAATGTAAAATAACGAACTTATAAGTTACTTTGCTAAAATTAGCACAATTAATATATGTATAGATTAATATTTATGTAATTGTTTTAGAGTAACCAAAGACTAGAAGTTCTAACATGGCGAATGGATGAACTCATACCGACTTTTTCAGTCAGAGCTCATACACGAGTTATAACAGATTTAAATTGGCATAAATTCGATCCTTACTTATTGGCGTCTTGCTCCGTGGATACTTTTATTCATCTTTGGGATTTAAGGGATTCTCGGAGGCCGACTTTGTCACTATCTGCCATTGCAGAAGCATCACAGGTTCGATGGAACAAGGTTTCATCTTATTTACTTGCGACTGCACACGAAGGTGATATAAAAATCTGGGATCAAAGGAAAGGAACAGCTCCTGTACAGTATATCGCGGCACATTTAGCAAAAATTCATGGCTTAGATTGGAGTACAACGTCTGAGAATCATATATGTTCTTCAAGCCAAGATAGTACAGTCAAGTTTTTTGATACAACGAATCCTAGAAGAGCAGAATGTGTTTTGACCACCAATGCACCAGTATGGAGAGCTAGGCATACTCCCTTTGGAAATGGTTTGGTTACTGCTGTAGTGCCGCAATTGAGAAGAGGTAGTTGTATTTAAAACAGTTCTAAAAATGAATGATATTTTATATGATACAATATATCACAACATAGGATATACTATATGTGTTCTTGCCCTTAATTTTATTTTATTTCCAATTTTTCTGTTCGCATTTTTCATTTGTTGAAGTTGTTCTACAGTCACACAGTGTTCGCCAGTTTGGAACGCCAACAACCTTGCAACTTTCCTTTTTTGTTTTGACTGATCTATTGGCTTGTCTTAAATTGAATATTTGACTTTTAAGTTGCTATGCTCAAGTGAGCGATTTGCTGGACAGTAAAATTTCAAATTTTGTTGATCAATATTTAATACTTGTCTCTATCCATCATACACCCAAACTAAGAAACAAAGAATTTATTCAAAAATTCGTTTATAAAAGATATATATTAAAACACTCTATCGGGCTATATCACAGAACGTTTTCGGAATTAATATTTCATCATCAGTGCTATCCTAAAAGTATAACCACTTTAATTAAAGCAAACATGAAATTTAAAATTTTGACCAAGATTAATACAAAAATGTGGTTAATACTTAATGGATGTACATGTTTTGAGCCATTAAATACATGGGTAAAAGTAATATGGTATACAGGAATTTAGTTCCCTTGTGGATTCCAAACTAACAACTTTAACACATATTTGCATGAAGCATCTCACGAACTTAAACTGTCATAAACTACACACTCGATTGAAAAACAGTGGAAATGTGTTTTTGACAACGTTAAGTACAAATACAAATACTTTATAATTTTATTCATAAAACTACATCATTCTAAATAGTAAATCTATTTCCATCCATAGTGACATCTGATATCTCGTATGGTCTATGGTCATTAATAATGAATATGCTGTTCGTTCATCACACGCTCCAATCGGTCCAATAACAACGGAAATATGAAGTAATGCCCATTTGGCAATGCCGTCATGTTTGTTTTATCCGTGATTATACTAATTATCCTCTCCCCTTTCCAACCAGACCTCATACGTCAAGATCCGTCTAGCTGTTCTCGAACTTTGCGACCACTTTGCGTAGCGGTAACGGTCGATAATTACCAAATTTAGTATTCTATGTTTAAAATGCATAATTTATTTGGAATTTTACTGGTATTAAGCTTTGGTAGATCTCTTTATTGAATTTACTTCTAGGTGAGAATAGTCTACTTCTATGGAATACGGCCAACAGAGCTACACCGATGCACACATTCGTTGGCCACCGAGACGTTGTTCTAGAATTCGAATGGAGAAAACAGAAATCTGGCGATTCTGACTTCCAACTAGTCACTTGGTCCAAGGATCAGACATTGCTGGTGTGGAAAATAGAGCCATTTATTCAGAAGTTATGTGGTTACGAACCAGTAGAAATCAAACCATCCAATGAGATTAATATAGACAGTGATGAAAGCATAAAATCGTTTAAAAAGAGTTCTCCCAAAATACAACCACTTCAACAGGAATTCTCTCTTTTAAATGTACATATACCTAACTTGATCATAAAGAAAATGGATTATATTTCAAGATTTGTTTTGGTTAATGCTGCAATCAACAATTTTGTTGTCAATTTAAAAGTTAGTTTTCCTAGTGCCTATCCCCATGGAGTACCTCCTGGATTTGAAGTTATTAAAGAAGGTAAGTTTTGATGATAAAAATTGTAGGTCTTTAGCTGAATATTATCTCCTTTGACTATTATATATTATTAGCTGAATATTATCTACCCTCCTTAGCATTTTATTTCCAGTTTATAGTATGTTTCCATTTAAGATCATCTGTAATAATCTCTGATCATCTTGTTCTGGACCTTCGCTATTTGTCCTTTTTTTTCCCATCCTTCATTTCCTTGATGGTAGCCTGTAATTTTAAATGTTTTATGATACAGGCTGATATTTCTTGAGCACCTCCCCCTGCTACTTTTTCGTCCCATACATAGAAAAAGTCCGTATCTGTATCAATATTATGTATAGTTGGTACAGTATAAATCTCGATGCACGTCATCCGCGCCATAGTGAGTGACGTCACATGATACCAACACAAAATATTTAAGTCATAGGTCTATTGCTTCTTAAAATCTTTTAGCCAAGTATACTGGAATTACAGCCACTAGACATATTTTATTATATATGCGTACAAATAATATTTGAAGATTTTTATTAATGTAAATTTAAAGAAATACCATAACTTGTTTCATTTAATTTATATAAGTGGATTATAAAGCGGTTTTATTTATTTATATTGAATATTAATTTGTTTTGTTGTATAATCCACTTCTGCAACATTTATGTGATATATTTGATTTAAAATGATTTCAGGAATTTTTGTAATTTGGCAACAATATCAACTTATATCTTTGTACCGATTTATACTGTAACAACTGTACAAGAAAGTTATAATAGTTTAAATTGCTTTATAATATGTATCTTATATAGTCAACAGAAAAGGAAAGAGCTTTTGTAAATCGATGCTACAGGTTTAGCGGTCAGGATTGGTTTTAGTAGGTTCTGTTTATTTTTTCATGTTAATTCAATAATGAGAATTATTCAACACTATGAATATAATTCTCATACAAAAATGGAGTAGGCCTAATTAGGTATACAGGAGACTTGAGTGGCTTCATATCAAAGACAGACATGTGTCATGCAAGAAACATTGAAATAAATTGGTTTTTTTTTGTACACGGCTGCTATTATTCTTTTATTATTTTATTATATCATTATCTTTCTCTTTATTCCTAAAGTATTACGCAAAATACACATACTTGTCGGTTTGCGTTACGTCATGTCGATATTAATCCTCTTCACATATATGTCTCCTCTAATTGCCTCTTATCATGTTTTTTTGACCCTTTTGCCCTACTCTTACCAGTACCACTTTTCTTTATGATCTGTTTAGGAATGTTATAAAGAATTGGCAATTCTGTGAAATATATAGTTTTTTTGATGTCGTAGAAAGTAGTTAGTTGGAAAAAATAATATCTAATTCTATCTATCTGTAAATATATAGTGTGGTAAAGTCCAAAAGTTAATAAACGACTAAGAAACAAAATAAAACGGAGATAGTTTATTTTGATTCTGTTTTGTACAATTAAAATCTAAAAAAAAGAAAATTCAGTTAATACCTATTTTTTAGGTTCCAATATCAACGAACCTATAATACTTCAATTACTCCAAATGCTGAAACATTTAGCGCAGCAAAGAGTTTCAAAAAATCGAACATGTCTCGAACCCTGTCTAAGACAAATGGTTACAACTCTTGAACAGCTTTCTAGTGACAATGAAAATAGTAGAATATATAACAGACCGTATCTAGAACCATCTAGCCTCTTTGCAGGATATAATGATGCATATATACCTTTTCCTAGGACATCTGGAGCTAAATTCTGCTCGGTAGGAACTTTAGTGTGCTTTGGCAGGCCAGTGCATTCTCGAAGACTTTCTACAAAAATGGATATACTTCCCAGAGGCATGTCGACGACACCGCGGGCTCTTTCGGCTTTAGAAAATATTTATTCTAAACGAAATGAGGACTACATGACAGTATCTGCTTTTTATTTTCAACGTCAGAGATCGAGGGCAAAGCATAATTATTCAAAATTTACCAAGGCAGTTGTGCATATATATGATGTATTGGGTCTCTTTTTCGTTAACAGGCAGTTAGCCGAAGAGTATATTCTAGATGGTGACGTTGGTACTATCTGTAAACATAACGCCGCTTCCGCTGCAGTGGTTGGTCGGTGGGATTTGGTTCAAGCATGGACACTTGCTGAATTAGTTGCAGGGCCTCAACAAGCAGATGAAGAGAATTCGTGGAATAATCATCCTTTTGGAAATAAATTAATGCAATCACTGTGAGTATCTTAATTTTATCTTTTATTTTGTAGTTCTAATGCTGACAAAGGTTATTTTTCAAAATTTCAAAGTAGATTTTAATAGTAAATACATAATAATACTAATAATAAGAAATACCAAATGGCAGGAGAGAGGATTATCTCAACAGCTCAACAGTTACTTCAACAGTTGAAATGGTTTGTGTGTTTGGGAATGGAGCATCACACCAGTCAACTATTTCTTGCTGTGTAATATACCGGTAGATAGAGTCATTTTTGGGCATTTCAAAGACCTCGATCCAAAAGATCCTACATGAAGTACTGGATGTTACGAAGTTGGTTTCCCGGTGGATCCCTCATTTGCTCACAGAAGAGCAAAAAGCGGTTCGCGTCAATTAGTGTCGAAAAATATTGGAACGGTTCATTAAAAGAAGCCGGCAAAATCTGGTCATTTGGCAAGAATTGCTTTAGACGATCGAAGAACGGTTACTTCTGATTGGTATATAACCGTTTATTTACCAGAACTTCGAACACAATGGCGAATTATCCTACATCAGGACAATGCAAGTGCTCACACTGTTCAGATGTCAGTAGAGTTTTAGAGTTTCAAAACATCTAATTGTTAAACCATCTACCGTATAGCCCCAACCTAAGTCACAATGACTTCTTCGCGTTCCCACAGATCTAGGCGTGGGCAGCGATTCCAATCGCCAGAAAACAGCGATTTTGCAGGTGTCAACTGAAGATTGGATAACCGTTTTACCAACGGGTTTGATTGGCAAAAGTTTATCGATCTTGGTGGGACATATTTTGAAAAGTAATAAAGTACTTGTAATACTTGTAGAGTTGCTACTTGTTTTAGGAAAATTGGGTTTCAGTTTGTTGCAAGTGCAATTAACGAATTGCTTTTTGTTTGTTGCATTTGTAATCCTTTAAGATAAATTTTAAATTGTTTTTTTTTAATAAAATATACTATTATACACAAGAAGTTTTTACTTCTATGTAAGAAAAAACGCAAGTACGTACAATTCCCTGGCGCACGCCCTTACTATACCAGTGACACCGAGACAACAGAGGTCCAACAAAGTTATAGTAAATTCTTCCGCGTTTAATGTCTACTAAATGATACGGTATGCTGTTAATTCCTAGTGTCACCGGTAGCTTATGCTACGATGTCTATTAATATAATTTATGAGGTAGATATCTACGTTTATATATTGTTAAAACATAATTTGTGAATGCTCCTCGTAACATTCGTAATGGATTGATTTCTTTACTTCTAGTGCATCTTTATTTTGTATTTAGTGTGTGTATATTTTTTGTCTTTATGGCTATATGCAAAACTAAAAAGGCAACGCTCGTATATGTACCTTTTTTTAGAATTTCTCACTATGCTTCCCAACATGATGTTCAAATGGCAGCTATGTTATGTTGCATTTTTGGTAAAGAGCACGATATGTCAAGTAGAAAATCATCTCTGAAGTCTCTGTTATCACCAGGAGTAAGTAAAACCCATAAGGAGAATAAATATTATTTTGATAATTACACATTCTTTTGTTATATATAACGTTGTTATGGTATTCATAATGACGTTATATGAGGAGCATACATGCAAAAACCGATAAATCCACTTTTTACAATTTTGAGATAAAAGCCAAAACTTGCACAACAAAATCCTAGAAGTCACGTTTAGAAGAATTCTAGAATTTTAATATATGTATTATCTTTTTTTACTGTTTTTATTTTTGATTTTTTTTAATTTATCGGGTTTTGTTCGAAAAAAGAAATTTATCGGTTTTTGCCTGAAAGATCTTTGCAAGAACATCATATTTTTGTTGCTAATAAAAGAAAATAAACGAACTCGAATGTAGAAAATTATTTTTATTATAAGTACTTAACAATTTGAACAAAGTAAAATCAAATTTGAAGCGTTGGTCACATGTCTCCTCTTCCTCTTCCTCCTCATCCTTTTCATTTGAACTTTTGCCATTAAGCAATTCCCGATACCAGTTTTCAGTTTTTCAGAATTTTTCAACCTACTGGTAAAATAATAGTTTTGGAATGATCGTATTTTTATGAATTTGCCATTGTTAAATTTTTTAATTACAATCTTCTTTGTATCAGCTAGCGCTTTCACTTTTTCCAAGTCAACTTGAAGCTCTTTCATATTAAACAATCTCCAATCAGTGCCTACGTTTTTAACAACTCCAATTTGTTTGTAAATTTCTTCATATTTCTCTCTAGAGAGAATTGTGGCTTTTTTTCTTAGAAGATATTCTACTCTCCCAAATACCCTGTCTAATGGCAAATACGAATAGACCTGAATAATGGCAATACGAATATAAGTAATATTTCTGTTACTTGAACTGGAGCTTTAAATCTAAGCCAGAAGTACAGCGAATGAATAATATGGGAGTTTTTATTTTGTCTACCGCATCCATTGCAAGGCAAGAGGCGAAGTGTCGTAATATTATTGTACGCATCATTAATAGGTGTTTTGGGCAAAGACTGCACCTGCTGCGTGTCAAAGAAGAATGTAATGGAATTTTCAGGATTTTTTTTAGCAGACTATAAAAAGCATTAGCCCTCTTTTGGTGGATACTCAATTCAGTAAGAAACTCTCTTTTCTTTACTCCGGTAATTTCCGTTCCAGTTTTGAATTTAAGTCTAGTATATTGTGCGCATACATCTGATGCTGGAGTAGAAAACCCAATGTTAAAATCATTAACGAATATCCTCCTAAACATCGAAAAGTTCATTATGTTCAGGGTCGCATTGAGTAAGGTACATGCCATGTAATTTCTTTATGCTTAGATCAGCAACCAAATAAATTCGTCTTGCTTTTTTTCTATTATAATTACTTTCTCTTCGCATTAGTTTACCAATAAATTCTCCTATTTTATTCTATTTTACAACAGATTTTGTGGACACGTGATCTCCGCCCAGATTTTCTTTTGGGATATTTCCGTTTGACAATGTTTTAGCCTTTTAGCGTAGTCTATAGATCTTTTTTAATATTCACACATTTCAAGAAAAATGCCTGGCATACCTGAACTTTTTTCTTGCTGACTCTTTTCGACAAGAAGTAGTTTTGAGTAGAACTATTGAGATGTAATGACACAATTTGATATCCTATTTCGACTTAACATTATTTTCACAAATTTTATTTCGAATTGCTCAAATGTCACTTTCAACAATACTATTGTAGTGATAAGTAGGCCCATTATGTTTACAAACTTTTATAAAGCTTTCCAAATGAGGATCGCTATCACGATATCTAAAAACGAAAATCTTAATTTATTTTTTACCCGTTACCTTTGCTTTTGCAATTTCTACCTTTTGGTCTCACTTTTCTTTTTTTTTTTCTATTTCCTATACTAATTTCCAACACACTTGCTACAATTGTTAAAACTTAATACAATTATGTTAAACAACTAGTTAATACGTAATTTATAAACAACATGACATAACCTCTTAATCCTTTCCTCCTTAATTCCGACAACGTGATGAAGGTAACACAGTCCTCTCGTTTTTAATTTACAAAGTACTACCATAGGAAAAGAAGTATACTTCTTTGTTTATACTACTACTATAAAACGAATCCGAAACAGCATAAAGGAACCTGCTATAAATGCGTACGATATAATGGATTTACATTATATGGTTTTGCTTGAAATTTGGATTTATCGGCATTTGCTTGAACTAGTCAATTCTGTACATCATTTTAATGGAAAATTATCGTTTTTTTTGTTGGAATTTTATAGTCTAGAAACAGAGAGGGCTATTAAATTGATATGAATCCATATTCAGGTTAAAAAATTCAACAAGTGGATTTATCGTTTTTTGCATGTATGCTCCTCATATATACTCGTATTATATATATTATATATATATATTATATATATATATATATATTATATATTATATATATATATATATATATATATATATATATATATATATATATGGCGGGTGTTGGGGAAAAGTGATATAAGTCGAAAAATGTAAAAAATGAGTTAAATATAGATACCACTTTAAAATGCATGTATCTTTGATAGGGTGAAGTGATATAAGTCAATTTAATGCGGCAAGCAGGTGTTATTTGTTTGCGTTACATGATATAAGTATTTTTAATATCATTTAATATAGTGAAAAATGTTATAAGTATTCTAGTACTATTTGTTATGCCTCCATCTGCCAGACAGGAAAAAAAATTATAGAGAAAACTGAAATAAGTCTAGTTATAATAGTCTTCCCCATATAATTTTATGATTATTATTTGTGAATAGTGATACAAGTTGAAATATATCAAAAGTTGTTGGTAAAATATGATTGTGAATAAAGGTATATGTAAAAATATATCGCTATTCTCATTAAAAAATATAGGGAAAAACATTATATGTTGACATATCACAAATGTTTTAACTCCAAAATTGAAAACTGATGATGTATGTTGAGATATACTAGTAGTTACGGCAATAGAAATTCAAACTGTGAAGTTTTAGGTCGACTTACCTCGCTTTTCCCTATTAACCGCTTTGTACCCGCTCAATCGACTTGTCTGTCATTTGTGGTTTAGTACTGCACGTGTCTTACTGTTGGTTTTATCCAGTTTTGTTTTGACCTTTTAAATAAGCGTGTAGTGATAGTATTGCCGCTTAAAATGTAAAGACAGGATAACTGAAGAAAAACGACAGGAAATTTTCAAAGAATATTGGTCTTTAGCGAGCTTTAACAAACGCGTGTCTTTTATGGCTAGGCTTATAACAACAGACGAAAAGAAAACCACAAAACGTAAATTAGAAAACAAAAAACATTAAAATAGGCTTCTGTCACACAAATATTTTTTACCACTAAATGGTCAACTAGTTAACGTTTGTCAAAGTTGTTTCCTAAAAACTTTTAACGAAACAAAACGGTTTCTAACCGATATGACAAAAAACAAGATTTCTTTAGCTTCTGCAATGCCACATGATGATTTGCGAGGTCTCGCCTCACCATCTAACAAAACTCCCGAACAAGATATTCAATTAGTAAGAGTTCACATTGGATCAATCCCAACGTATGAGAGTCACTATTGTCGTCGTAACTCATCAAAGATATATCTTCCTCATTACTATACCTTAACAAGAATGTATGAAGAATACAAAAAATGGCTACCTCACGAGAAAACCCCAGTATCGAATTTCAAATATCAAGAAGTATTCCATTCCATGGAAATAAAAATCAAACAGCACAAAAAATGCAAGAAATTCAAAATCTTCTTGATAATCACCAACAAGAAGCATCAAACGCTTATGAGGCTAAGGGTATAGATAAAAATGCTGCGTTAGAAAATGAATCAAAAATCATTTATACGTTTGATTTGCAACAGTGTCTCCCCACACCTGATCTTCAGACTTCAATAGCATTCTATAAAAGGCAGTTGTGGACCTTTAATTTAACATTACATAGATTTAATGATAATCAAGCAATGTGTTTTATGTGGCATGAGGGCGTAGCTGGACGGGGTGAAAATCAGATTGCATCATGCTTATACAAGCAAATTTCACATATTTCACCTGAAATAAAAGAGATCACCTTATATTCTGATACGTGTGCAGGACAAAACAAGAACTCTTTTCTACCTGCAATGTTCATGATGGTTTTGAAAGAGAATCCCAATCTATCATACATTAACCACAAATTTCTTGTTCCTGGTCACACCCACATGGAGTGTAATTCAGATCACGCAATTATAGAGAAAAAAAGAAAAGATATCCATGTTCGATAGAGACACCCAAGAGACTGGATGAACTTGGTAAGATTATGTGGAAAGAAGCGAACTTTTTTAGTTACTGAAATGTGTAGATCGGATTTTCTTGAGTTTTCTTCTTTGTATAAGAATGTCCTTCAACAAAGAAAAATTAACAACTTAGGAGAAAAAGTCATGTGGAAACAAATGAAATGGTTGAGATTTTCACAGATCCAATAAACATCGATAAAAAAAAGAGCTTGATAGAGCTATTGCCTTATATTTCTGAAACATTTCATGATTTTTATAGAAATTTAACTACGAAGGAGGATATACCAAATACGTTACCCGATGATGAAAATAGTAGTGACGAGGAGAGTGTACACACAGAAATTGAAATTTTTAAAAATTAAATAAAATTTTACGTTGTATTTGACTATAAATGTACCCCCTTAACTAAACATAAAACTTTTCAGTTTCACATTTTTTTATTTATAATTAATAATTAGATTTGTTACTATATCTTCCGGAAGGGCTTTTTTCTTTAATAAATAATTGTGAAAAGTGATATAAGTCATATTTTTCTTAAAAAATTGTACAACTAGGTCCTTTTTACTAGTAGATCTATTTTAGTCCAACAAATTCAAAGCCATTTCCAAAAATTGTTTAACGAAAATATCTTATTTGTATCCGTAACAACAATATTAAATTTGAAAAAACTATAATTGCGTTTTTCTCGAAACTTAAAATTTAGACTTATACCACTT